CCGAGCAGGAGGGCAAGTTACCGAGGCAGAGATCAGACACCCAGGAAAATTTCTTCCTATTGAGTAATCACGTATTAAAGGGAGCCTAATTATGCAGCCTCAGAAGACTAGGGCTAGTCACAGGAGGTCACTGGAATTCAAATTTCCCCATGCAGTTTCTATCAAAAGGACTTTTTTTTTTTTTTTTTAAAAGATAGCACAGGGAGAAGTGAGAAAATAGGATAGCAAGTGACATTCCTAAGAAATATATAGATTTTAAACATCATAGAGTAGGACAGTGCTTAATGGCAGCTCCTTAAGAGATAAAACCCAAAGATTTTAATGCAAATGGTCTCAGAAATGTGTCAAGTAACACAGCTTCCGACCAAAGTGAACCCCAGGCAGAGGCAATTTGAGATACTATTTACACTCAGTTAAGTGGGGTTCAAGTGATCATGCACACTGCTGCTCCAAAACATCAACATGTCTAATTGTACTTTCAGGTAATAGCATTGCAATTAATTCATCAAGATATTAAATGAATAATTCTCCCCTTGTATTTCCCAACTCAAGATGTAAACAAGTTGTTGACACACATCTGCATGTGTGTGTGCATGCCTGCAATTACTTTAAGCTCAGTCTACATGTCATCCTGCTACCAATACAAGTTCTTAAGATTTTTCCTAATAAAATAATTATAAACATCCTGACAGGGGTGGGTAAAGCTGTATTTTCAGAATACACAGGCTGGACAGGGAGGGCAGCTGTGAGAGAAAGGTGAAAAAATATCCTTGAAGTGCTACTTAGAAGTGCCATAGAGAGCTCCAACATGACAATGACTCTTGAATAAGCAATGCTGCTTGCCTTTTCATCCCAAACGAGAACCCACCCTGTGCCCGGATAGCACGTGGATGCTCCCTTGGCCAAGCTTCCTTCCCCAGCTATATCTGCATGTTTACGCAGCTCAGCAGGACAGGGAACATCTCTTACCACACTTCCCATGATGGCAAAGACAAGCTACACGAAAGACAAATTCATCTCCCAACTCTAGTTCAGATGTTCAGTTACTGCAGGGAATAAATGGTTCTGTGAACATATTTTTAAAAGAGCCATTTGAAAAAGGAGAATACGGAGCTCTAAGAGCAGAGGTTTTGGATCAAAGTGGTGATTAAATACTTCTGGAAAGCAGGTTGGTGGAGTTAGGGCCAAAGCCTATTCATACCAATGGAAAAATAAGTCAAAAGACAAAAGGACACAGGGCACAAACCTTGACTTGGGTTCACTCAGAGGAAGTCCTAAGACAAAAAATAGATCTGCCTTGAAGCTTCGCAACTCGCTTGAATCGCGAGCCTCCAGAAAACCCTATGCAAAATTTAGCCTCCCATAATAACATGAGCTAAATTTGTACTGATAGACATTAAGCAGACACGTGCAGCAGAAAAAAATTACCGTTCTGATCAAATACTCCGTTAGGATTAATCAGCAGTGAAGCCTGCAATAAGCTTATTAAGAATTTGGTTCATTTTCCTACACTGGTACAAAAAAAATGTTTTCAGCATGAATATTGCTTTTCCCCTTATTTTAACAGATGTTTTGTCATATTTTTACACCCTTCTTGCCAGCTCCTTTTACCAGTTATGTTTCCATTAGCAATTGCAGCCATTGTGCATGGCTGGAACATACTAAGAACAACGAATGCGCTAAAAAAAACATTCAATTTTCACTTGGTTATTCAGAGCTAATATTGCTGCCTTCTATTAGAAACTATGTCATCTGATCTCTAGGACCACTCTGAAGGAAAAAAAGGCCTCTAATAGAGGCAAGTGAAAAAACGATTTCTTCTAGGAAAAGAAATCTCCAACACCATGATGCACAGAAACAGGGCAGTCRTTATAAACCAGTGTCCACATTTTGTCCTTGCTGCGCATTTACCCGACTCCCCCAAGCCAAGAGGGGCGTCTTGCTAAAGCTGGATGTCAGCTCCAGCTGAGGACACCTGGGCCACCTGGGGACGTATCCTGGGGCTCTCTGCAGGGTGTTGGGCATCACCCGCTTGTTGCTTAGGAGTCTGTCCCAAAAAGGTCTGTCTGTCCTTCTAAGCACACGGGAAGGCACAAGGTCTCTTGCAGCAGGTGCTGCAGAGGGCTAAGGTAGCTTGCAAGTGTGAAATGGGAAGTGCTGACACTAGGAATACCACCCAGGGACACAGCTAGAGAAGGACCTTTGTCCCTGGGCTGCATCCCTCGTGCCCCAGTCCTCTCTGCTGGTTTTGGGACACTTTAGTACCAGGCTCAGAAGATGCAGACACAAAGGAACCGAGCCCCCTGCTCTGCAGGACACACACATGTTRAGAAACCGACTCCAAATCCAGGGTGACCCCCTGCAACTATGGCTGCAGCTGCTGCTTCATAGGGTTTTTGCTGCTTCAAAATTCAACAGGCAGTAAGAAAAACAACTGGCTCAGTGAGTAACTGGCTGTGTTGAACACTCTGGCAGGGAACATAATAGCTGTCTGGGCTGGCAGAATTCAAGCTAGAAGAGCAGATACCTCCAAAAGTGCTTGGGGAGAAAAGCAGTGTAGAACAATCTACCTTCGCGAGGTCCCTATCAAATTACAGCTGGCAGGTCAGCCCCTTCAAAGTGCTCATATACAGGAGAAGACTCACAGTGAGTTCTGCTTCGTAATAAACTTTGTGCAGCCAGAGTTTCCCAAACTGCAGCATTTATGAGTGAAAACACTTTTCATCTGTAACACATTTCTTATGCTCTTTCAACCTCAACCAGAATGGAGGAGCACAATTCTGGAGGAGGAAAAAAACAAYCCCAAAACCTACCACACACCACCACACAGGTAGGAGGAACGTACCTAACAGTCCAGGGATAGATGCTGAATTTATGAGCGCACAGGTTTGCAGTTTGGGTCTTCTGCAATCAAACCACAAGCAACTCCACAGCTTGGGCTACAGGCAAGGGTGAGGAACTTGTCCTCTGGGGCTAACTGACACGGAGGGACCTATCACACACACTATCACCATAGGGCTTGGAGAAACACTAAGATAAAAACATGTTCCAAATCCCCCTGATTTGCAAGTAAGCTCCTAAGCACTTACATAATCTTGTGCTAAAAAGCGCTGGCTGCTGCAGTCAGAAATATGCACATGGAGGAGACATTTAAGCAGTACTGCAAAGCAAATCAAAATAGCTACCAACTGCAYGCAGAAATTCTGCCAAATCAGAAAAGGTTACACGTTAACTTCTGCTTCATATGAGGCATGGGGTTCACAGTAGTGTTTGGAAGCCAAAGAAACACCGACTCTTCTGAGAAAGCAAAATTAACAGCAAAAATGGAAACTACAATTTCCAAACTGGAAGCCAATTTCAAAGTGGCTTAGGTGAGCCCACATCATTACCCAGTTATTATTTTTGAATCCTGAATCTTTAAAGACACCAGTGTTATTAGCATTAGAAACAAGCTGATAACTCAAGGGGCTGACATGAAAACAAGGAGCTCTTGTGTTCAGTGCTGTTTATGCCAGTCTGCTGGTGCCCAGCACTACTGACAAGGGCCCAGGATTTCAGGTGTGCCTAGAAATAAAACTGAAAGATTAAGAATACAAAGTAAATGACAACAATTCCCACCCCATAAACCTCAGTTCCAGTTACCTGGTGTGTCAGATAATGGGAGAGGAATGAAAGGATCAGGCACGGTCAGAAGAGGAGGGCTAGTGTCCAAACTCAGAATGTCTTTCGTTTTTTCAGCTGGATAACCAGGAAGAGATAGGGCAAAGTGAAACAAAAGAGAAGAGAGAACAGCAGAAAACATCAAGCAGGAAAACTCAGTACTGAGATACAGCTCAATATGAAGGAATGCAAGCCATAGCCTGGGAAGAACAACACGTGCACACTCACAATGAGCTTGCTTTGCTAGGGAAAAGGACAGAGACCCTATTACCATGTAGCTCTCCGATGAAGACTTTAATTCAGAGATCTCAGTGCTATTCTTGCACTGTAGAGCAGCGCAAGAGGTGAGATGCACTGACAATGGACAGACAGGAGGTCAGCCCCCCTGCTCTAAAGGGGGCTGGCTACAGTGAAACCTGCAGCTCAAACTTAAACAAAAAGAAAAGGGCTAGAAGTGCCTGTCCCAGTGCAACAGCTGAGAGAAAACAGCCTGGACCTTGGGGCAAGAGAGTCAAGGAGCAAATCTGAAAGATAACCAAAAGGGAAATAAACAGGCTAGTGTCCATAAAGCCCAGAACATATGGACGCTCTACAGGAGCCACCGCACAGCTCAGCATCTCTCCTCACAGCTGAYGGACACCACCAGCAGTTCCCACTCTGCTGCACAGCGTCCCGGAGAGCATCCTGAAGAACTTGGCCTCATCTACTTCAACTCCTTAACTCTAAATAGCCAACAGTACCAAACTCTCTGATAAGCCCCACAAAATCTATTATAAATAGAAATATGAATAAATTGAATAAATGGATATGTCTCCTCTTGCCCCACAAAAGGRGTCTTCGGGCTCTTCTCAGAATGTCTCTGAGATGCCTCGTAGAGACAATGGTGGACACTAAGAAGCCTTTCCAAACGGTTGCAGCTTTCATTGGTGGGAACGACTGCCTAGGATGGGGGAGGATTACTCTCACTTAGGGCTGCTGCTGGCAGTTTTCCAGGTCTTCAGTGAATTCAGTGAGAACCCCTGATGCTGAAGAACTACAAACAAGCAGCAGCACTCAGCTTTTTTGGCCTTGACACCCAGGTAGCAAAGGAGAGACCAAAAAGAGCCACGCACACACACAGAGGCATCTGCAATGGAGCTCTCTAGATCAGCCAAGGACTCCAGGTCCCTAGAAGCCAGAACACACAGCCGGTACAAAACCTCTTGCCTTCACCATCTGTTAGTCAATTCAAAGATTATATCAATTTTATCTTCCTTTAAAAAAAGGCTATGATGAGAGTTGCTGTTTGCCTGCTGTGTTTGTTGAGGGCAGAACCCTCTGGGAAACGCTCACAAACTCACCTGATCCAGCAGTGAAAGAAGAGCCACCAAAAGCATCTGCCTGGGGTGCAGCTGAAGCCGGCTGGAAACCTGCAATCAGGTTCTCTGCAGAGCTGCCCATCTTTTCTGGAGCTTTGCCTGAAAGGCCAGGTGCAGAGTTAGGGACAGACCTCCATTCTGAAGGTTGCTTTCCTTCCTGTCCCTTTAGGGAACTATTACCATACAAAGCTTAAGAGACTCCCTGCAAATCAACATGCGCAGAAGTTGCAGATGAAGCAGAACTTTAACTGTAGCTTCTACAACAAACTGATCAGGGCCACCTCAAAAACCAGTGAATACCACTCCCTTGAAGAATTTCTTTTGTTTAATTGCAGTTGCTCAGCAATGATGGCAGAGAAATGGGGAGATGGGAAGGATTTAGCTCTTACAGGCACAGCAGGCCACAACAGCATGGCAGCATCTGACTGAAAACATCATTCCACCCCACCTTCCTGCTTCCAAGAAGCCTGGTATTAAACACACTCCAGGAACCTACCATCACCCAGCTTTGCAAAGTCCTTGTTGAGCAGCTCCTCAGCTGTGAGCTTGGAGAAGTTGTCGTCATCAAACGGATTCCACGTGGAGACGTCAGGCGGGTTATACACATTCTGCTGCGAGGTTCTTGGCGAACCCGAGGGCGTAGTGGAAGCAGACCTGGACACCATCATCCCAACAAAACAACAGGCATTAATAACCAGTCTGAAGCTCTCTGGCCAGCACCATGATCTGTCTGAGCTACTGCTTCATAATCACTTCCTTTTTAATTTAGCCCAAGTTATTGTACCTTAAACATCCATAAGGCTGGCCCTAGTTTGCCTCAYCTGCTTATCATTGTATCCGAGCACCCTGCTGGTGTCAGGAATTAACAGAAAGAAAGAAGAAAACAAAATACAAAAAAACCCACACACATCCCATTGGAAAGAATTTTCTACAGGAAGCTTTCTGCCTGTAGAACCTGTAACTGCGATGCAGCAAGTGTTCTTGGGGAAGAACATCTGAAACAAGACAAGCATTTGTAATTCAGGTGGAAGCGCAGTTTGCGTAATAATATTGGGAGAACAAAAGCACTCTGGAGAACTGCTTGGGCAGCTCCAAACAACTTCCTGACAAGATCTGTAGTTCTGGGGACACAAAGGCTCACTTAGACCACCCTTTGCTGCCTACCTTTAACTTGGAGCTTGGCTTAGGAAGCACCTGAAGAGCTTCGTTTACCCCCTCCCTCCAGAGCCTTTGACACCAAGCACTCAGTCACCTACTTGGATTTGTTGAGACTGGCTTCAGCAGCAGCTGCCTGCAGCAGCTGTGTGGACTTGCTGGCTGGAACCCCAAAAACGGCGCTATGGGTCACGTCACTGAGAATCCTCCTGTGCCCCGCGCGCTGCGTCTTGGGCGATGAGGGTGGCGTAAGGGAGCCCAGCTTCTGCCCCGGCACGGCCCCGGGTGGCGTGGTCTGAGGTTTTTGCTGTTGCCTTATTTGTGGCTGCATCTAGGAGAGAAACCAAGGTGGAAGGTCTTTGTTGGGGAAGGACAGCTCTTGAAGAATGGCCACGTTCTGGGGGACTGACTTCAGAGACACAGAGCAAGGATAATCTAGAGAAAAATTAAGGAGTGTTTGATCTAAACTATGTCAGCATTACTCTAATTGCACAAAGGAAACTTTCTCCCCTTTCTATGGTGGAGATCTGGAGGTAAGACCCCTGTCAGTGTATGTTTTTCAAGGGTATCTGGTCTTAGCAGCTTGCTTAAGGGAAAGGATGAGAGCCAGTGCAGTGCTTAAAAAAAAAAAAAAAAAAAAAAAAAAGACAGATAAGAGCATGCAGGAATCCTGTTATATGGCTACATGGTTTGGGGAAAGTCAAGAGCAGCACTTCTTGCAGCAGATGCCACGAATTTAAGGTCACATCTCTAGAGGGGTACAGGGCTTCTACAGCAAATTTGTGCAGGAGCTTGGGCTTCACTTGCTCAGATTTCAAGAGGGAAAACCAGAATACAAAGAGCAGAAAACTGTCTGCTCCATCTCCATAGCATGGCACTTCTACCCTGCCTCCCTTCCCTGCCCAGTATCATCCCAGGCCATTTTCAACCAGGGGAGATAGATACAAGCCTTGGGATGGCCTAGGGGGGTAGTCAGAAGTGAATTACATCCGCAGTGTGAATTCTAGCTGCAGCAGGGCAAGGCAAACAAGAGAGCAGCTGCCATGGTTTCCACCCTGCCTTTGAGACAGGCTCTCCACAGCTGAGAAGCCAACTTGACTGCTTCTAAGACACCCACCTCACATCTCACTATGTAGGTCACTGCAGAACGGTACACTCGGTGCTCAGAAATAAACGGGCCGTGCTGAAATATCCACAGAAGTGAATGCAGTTTATTAACCTCAAGTCTGGCAATACAAGAAGGTTTTTACAGGGCCTGGACTGGTATCTTCTGCTCAGAGAACATGCTTGGAAGAGACCATGCCCCACTACTTGTTTTTTTAAAGACTCCTTCCTGCGAGGCTCTTACCACTTGCTCCTGCGGAGGCGTGGGCTGCGCTGCAGCCTGTGGGGCCTGGGGCTGGGCTGGGGGCTGCTGCTTCTGCTGCACTGCTGCCGCCTTCTGCTGCATTGCTGCCTGCTGGGCCATCATCTGCTGCTGCTGTTGCTGCTGGTAGTAGTTCTGCATGAGCTGCTGCTGTGCGGGTGCTCCTTGCTGCATCACTGGGAACTGGGACGAGAACAGCTGCTGAGCCGTGTGCTACAAGGTTGCAAGCGGGGCACCAAAACCCCAGCACTAACAGCCTGAGAGGGCCTGGAGGCCACCAGCAAAGGCGCAGTGGAAAGCGGCCTGCTGGACTAGCGTTAAATCCTTCCTTTCTGTGTTAGCTCCCGCCCATGCTGGACTTCCAGACACAGGATCCAGCGGCCCAAAATTCCTTTCTCCACTTTTGTAGACAAAACTCTTCCTTTCCCCAGGATAGAAGGATTCACTAGTCCTCTGCCTCCACTGGGAAATTATGCATTAACAACGATGTGGGCTGCTATAAACACCTCGGTTATGTATGCGAGTCTGTCACCAAGACATCCTGTCTAACACGCAGTGTTTCCACAGGCCTCCCTGGCACAGGCTATTGCAAACAGACCTGAGTCTTACCATTAACGAAAGGCATGCCACGTTTCTTGCCCCACCAGGAGAGCAGGAGAGAATTTCCACCCCTCTGCTCATCAGCTGATCTCAAGACCTCTGAATACTTTGAACTTTCAAACCTTAACCAGCACTGCTACTTTTGTGCTAGTATCTCGCACAAATATCTCAAGGCCTTTCACTACAACAGTTAAAGATACCAAAGTCATGTCGTAAAGAAACTTAAAGACCTGCAGATGCTACATCATTAGGATGCCCCCTAAAACTACATCTACCCCAGCACAGAAGACTGGTCACAAATGCAGAAATGAGGCTTGGAAGGCCTTCAGCACACAGCCAGGGAGGAACATGCAACAACCATGGCCCCCTGCTCACCTGCTGAGCTTGCATCATCTGCTGCTGCTGGTAATATGCAGCCTGCTGCTGCTGCTGTTGCTGCTGCAACAGCTGCTGTTTCAAGAAAAGCTGCTGCTGCTGCTGCGGCGCGGCCTGCGGCTGAGTAGAAGGGACCTGTGCCGGTGGCTGCGACGGCGCCTGGGGCGCTGCCTTGGGCTGGGGGCCGCTGGCAGGGAGCGCGGGCTGGGGGCCGCCCAGCGTGCCGGGGCCTGCAACTGGCAGAGAGGCACCCATCAGTCAGGGAGGTCACCGCGCGCCCCGGCCCGGCCCAGCGGGAGCCCCTGGCCGCGCGGCGGCCCCTCACCTTGCGGCTGCAGGGCTGTCGGCGCCGTGGGCCTCTTCCGCGGCGTCAGGGCCGGCTGAATGGGGAGGATCCCGGGGTTGGGTTGGGTCTGTCCTGCTTTGGGTCTCTGGCGGGGCGCGATGGATGTTTCCGTTGTGGGAATAGGATCTGTCAGCCTGCAAAAGAGGGAAAGGAGTTGAGGAAGAAGGAACATCAAGAGCAGAGCACTTGCTAGCATGATAAACTGTAGCCTGCTGCACTAGTTATCAACTCAATGGCACTAAGTCACATGGGAGTGCAAGTGTATTAGGTCCCCAAGTATTCAGGTCAATCCTTCCCTCAAAACTGCAAGTAATGTAAAATTTAATAGATGCATTCAAAACAATTAATCCAATCCAATCAATTGGATTTGATCCGATTTTCACTTTCAATCATTTTGACTTCTTCGCCAATTGTAGCATCGTCTCCTGTCAGACAGCTGGAACTTGTCAAAATCACTCAACTCATTCAAACATTTGCTGCAACATATTGCTCGAATCCACTTATAGAGATACAGATGAAAGGTATAATAAGTTAGCTTAAGAGCAGCTGGCACCTTTCAGCAGAATTGTTTAATCTGGCATCTTATAAGTACTTCGACTTCTGTGTGCCTGACCCCAGAATCAGGTTGCTTGTACTTCCCTGATCCCTTCTCCCTATTTTTTCTCCTGCAATAATGCAAAGAGACAGAGCCAAGAAATCAGGCACCATCCTGCCCTTTTGTCAATATACTTGCTTACTAGGTATCAAGTTCTACTAACATAAGGGTAACTGTGTTCAATTATAAAAACAAACAAAGCAGATTTCCGGGACTTACAGAGGAGAGATGCCCTATTTCAGGGTCTGAAGACAACTGCTATTTTTGGATTATTCACTGCTGTACTACTCACTTGACAGTAAAACGAGATACAAGTTCTTTGTCTAAAAAGAATTTGTAAGTCTTGGTTATAAGCAGCAGAGCTAGCAACAGTGAGGGAAAGCAGAACCATCACAGCAATAAAGTGGTTTCTCCAGTGATTAGGTTCACAGTGATTGAGGTCGGGTTATGGTAGCTGACCGACAGCAGGCCCTGGTGCTGCTCCTGAGCAGACTCACGCTCCCGGGGCCGCTTCCAAGGCCGCTGCAGCCCAGCTGCAGCCCAGCTTCAGCCTGCCCTGCCTTGGCTGCGGGCGCTGCCTCAGGAGGGATGACACAGTAGATTCATCTAAGCACATGATCCTCAACTGCTGCTGTCAAACAGCCTTCAGTACCCACAGCCTCGCTGTTGACTCATGCTCAGCATCCCCCTCCATGCACACACACCCCAATATCCTCTGTTATCTTCTTTTTTCAAGTTTCAAGTCAGTGGACATTTACATGTTTGAAGCAAAAGCCTCAGGACTGCCTTGCTTGTCTCCATGACCAAGTGTAATCTCACAAGAGAGCAGATAAACTCAGACATCATTCCTATTAAAAAGGAGACAGACAATACATAAAGGAGACCTGGGCACCATGAATGTGGTTACCTGGCCTTTGGTTGGCTCTTCTTCGCTGCAGCTTCACTTGCTTTGATTGGGTCAGGGAGCTTGGCAGGGATTGGAGAGTTCTGCAAAAAACACATCACTGCATTTAATATTTTGAGGACAGAAAACAGAGCCCAAAGTTATTTGCAGAAGTGTCCAAGTAAAAACGGAAGATTCCGGAAACACCAAAGTAGTTATTCCTTATCACCTCAAATTCAACACAGATGCTCAATTTTAAGGTTATGAAGAAACCATAAGAAGTTCCTTTTCAGCCATTATGTAGAGGCAAGAAGAATAAAGTTTCATGTCACTAAGATATCCACAAAAATCTCCAAAAATCTACRTACCAACCAAAATGAGTAAAGACACATTAAGCAGGGGCAGATGGCTGTGCAAGGTCTGATGCAGCAAGTGGAGGGAGGCTATTCTCAGCCAGACAGCAGGCATAAAACCACTGTGCACGTTACACACGCTGTGATGGATTTGTCTAGAAATTAAGTGAGTTTCACAAGCACGGCCTAATTTTGCATGTTCACAGGCACAAAGCCTGTTGGATGGCCTCATGCTGCTAACTGGGTGAAGGAGTATCTCATGGGCATACAAAAGCAAGCAACACATGAAATGAGACCCTGATTTCCTTCTTTTTCTCCCCTGCCTTCACTGAAGAGCATTTCTAATTACAAAAGAGAAAAGAAAAGTGAATTACAGGACTGAGAAACTCTACCCTTAATATTGAGGCCTCCTCACCCAGAACCTTACATCAATCCACTCCTTTTCTACTCACCTGGACATTTTGGACGGGACACTCCTTCTTTGCCAATTTGAATGCGAAGTAGGAGACCTGGTAAATATCAGGTCTCTTGTCAGGGTCTGGCTCGAGCATATACCCTTTAAAAAAAGTTAATATCCAAGTATCAGAACAGGCAGATCTGTGTACATGGCATAGCCAGAGGCTAACAGGGTGCCCTGCATCTTTGAGCACCCAGTCCGTGGTCAGCGAGGCTGATCGGAGGCAGGATGCTCAGGCAGGATTGACTGGCAGGTCCTCTCCAGGAAAAGTGCCCCATCCAACCCCAGGTGTGGCCATGGAGCTGAAAGACAAGCCAGCCACACACACATCCCTGCCTTTGCATAAGCAAGGAAAGCACCAGGCTTCTTTGCCAACACATTCAAGTCTGTGTTACTCAGGATTATGGCTAGAAAAAATGAAACACAGGCTGAAAGCAARAGAGCTGCTCCAGCTTCACCAAGAGTGATGCACTGTGCCCTTAATTACACATTCACTCTAGTCGCTGGGTTATTTATAAATCATTCCCATTCTGTTGCACAATTCATAGAAGATAAATTCTCATCGCTAGTCTAAGTCACTGTGGTTCTTTTCAGTTCCTTATCCAAATAGGTTACTGGAGAAATACGTTTCTGTATAAATAGGCTTATTGTGCAAGCTTCTGTAGGAGTTTCAAACCAAATGGTTGTCTATTTGCCTGTCTTTACACAGAGCTCATTACAGCCTAGCCAAATAGCAATCTCTTTGTCATAACTGCCTTTTCAGGAGTGATCACCCAAGCTACTGGGAGATCATTTAATGCAACTCTGTATGCAAGCAAGTCTCTTGAAACAGGAGAAATGTCAACTCTTCTGTGGTAAGAGCAGAGATGTGAAAAGCAAAAATATATTTAAGCTCTGCAAAAGCCAAATATGTCACGTAAGAGACACTCACGGATGAGGCAGTGCATGTCTTGCGAATGCCGAGAATTATCTGGAATGGTGAAATTGCCATCGCAGATTGCTACCTGACTCTCCCCAAACGGCAACGTGAAGTAACAGAGTTTGTACAGCAAACAGCCAAGGGCCTGAAGAGAGAACAGAGCAGATTATTTAATAAACAGGAGCAAAGCAGACAACCATACAACTCCAGTATTATTGTAGATAACTGGGAGAGCAGTTTGGCTCACTCTACCACCAGGGTCCTGCATGTTCCTAAACCAACAATTCAATCACTGTGGAATCATCTGAAAAATGAACAGGATTACAGTGAACATAAATACACCAAGAGCTACCCCTTACTAAGCTAATTAGATTACTAAGTAATCTACTAGCTGAGAAACAATACACACATTCCCCACATTTCCCTATACCTCTACAGTGTAACACCCTCATGTAATTTCACAAGAAAAGACAGAGATGTAATAAGGGATAGGGAACAATCAGATATAAGATACCCAAACCCACAGAAATTTCACCTTGGTACATGCAAATTACATTACATACAATAATACATGTATAATTACATAATAATAATTTACATTATAAATAAATCTGCAATAGGACTTATTCTGTTCTGGTAGGAAAAAAAAACAAATAATAGCAAGGTTAAGTGAGACACATTTTTAATATCTTTCTAATGCCAAAAAAAAAAAAAAAGAATTAAACTGTTGTCCAAGTCTAAAACTGCACCACATCAAAGCACTTTTTGACCCTTACAACCGTTTATTAGCCTGAGATGTTAAGTTTAAACCCAGGAAAATTAAATAAAGCAATAGGCAAGAGGATCTTRAAACAAAACAGACTCCTCTGTCTGCAGGCCGCTAGATTCTATCACTGCTCCATTTATTTCCGTGCTGCCTTTGACAACGAGAAGAACTCTCCCAAAAGACAAGTTTTGTACAAATGGGTAATTATGAAACACCCCCAGCATCGCAGAGGGGAGAGGGGAAACATTTCCTCATCCTGGGAAGCTCAGTCAATTTGTATGTTTTGCTACAGGATTTCACAATTGGGTTGCAATTCTTGTTTAAAATAACTTGTCTGCAGTTTAGGCGAAGGGAGGTTGCAGCACTGCACTCTCGCTCAGGAGCACCCAGTGGGTCACTAGGACATTGTTCTTTCCACGCCAGGAAGCAGAGCGCAGTGGGAGCCTTTGGGGCTCTGCCTTTCTGCTCTATCCCAGGCAGGAGGACAAATCCCGGATTCTCCTCCGGCTGGATCCAAGGCCCTGACCATCTTTTCACATTGGTGCTGTTGTGGCTGTCCCTCCTCAGGTCACCAGGGCAAGCAACCTGAGATGGGTGCACAGTTTCACAAGGTTCCTGATGAACTCAGCCAGGCCAGAGCTCTGCAGGAGCTGCCGCGTTCCCAACTCAGCTCGGGGAGGACAGAGGTCTCTTCCCAGCAGACACATTCCAGTAGTCTTCCCTTTTGTCTACACATGTGCAGCACCAGGGAGGATACACGAAAACCCTCCTTATACAGCTACTGTCTCACTACTGCCCAGCTCAGGGGTTCAGACACCACCGAGACACTCTGCAGCAGAACTGAAACACAGCCCAAGCTGCTGTTGCACTACAAACAGCACAGTTATTCCCCATCTCCTCCTCAGCGAAGGAATCTGTCCACAATTAGATTGCTCCACATTTAAGATTACTCCACAGTTGCATTTTACACAATATCCCCAATGTTCTCTTTCAAGTCTTAAGATATGAAATCAAGTTTGAATGGGTTTATTTGGGAATTTTATACACTCCTAAATTAAAATCTCATGGGAGGCAGCATATCAACAAGCAATCATGTTCATCCACCAGCCTCCCTATTTAGTAGCAACTCAACAGAAATGTCAAGTAGAGGAACTCCCTCTTTTCAGAAAGATTCCAACCTTTTACAGGAAGCAGGTTAGCTCCAGAAAGACATTACCCTGTAATTATGGTAATGAAAGCAAGCTGCAGTCTGGGTCCACTAATGTAGAGTGAGTTTTATACGTACCCATATGTCTGCTTTTGTAGTAATAAGTTTGCCACTATACAGGTTGACCATTTCTGGTGCTCTGTAGGATAATGTAGTGTACCTGCAGGTAAAAAAAAAAAAAAAAAAAGACCAATCCATCAGTGAGTTGGAAAGGGGCATCAGTTGTGCTTTCACTGTATCATACTTAAAAACAAATCAAAGTTTGCACATCCCTCTTCATTTCAGGACAAATGCTAAAGGTAATAAAACACTTAAAAGAAAAAAATTCATTTAAAGAATCTGCTTCGTACATCTAACAAGAAAATACTAACCACTGAAAGCTGACCTGGAAAACCAAGGCAACAGCCAGGATCCCTTTGTAAGGCCACCAGTTTACTCACAAATCAGTGTCGTCATTTTAAGAATCAAAACAGAAGTATTCAAGGATTCAGAACATCAAGGTTGACAGTCCAACGTCCTCCACACCGTCCTTGCTGCTGGGACTTTGGCCAACYGACAGGACTGGAGCTGCATACAGGGATCCTAATAAATAGGCTCCCATACTGGGATCCTTGCTCGCAGTCATTGCAAACAAGGGAAAGGTTATTTTGCAATCCGAACTGCAGCTAGAAATTGCCTTGTTTTAATAAATCACTAGAAGTAGAAAAAGTAGAGGCACAGGTTGAAACTGCTACAAAACAGTTTTCCATCAGCAGTTCTATAATTTCTGCTGGGACACCTTCCTTATCACTGCCCTTCATCTCAAAAGGGCACTGCTAAAGGCAAAGGTTTCGTAGGGCTGCTAACACGTGCACAAATAGGGCGTTTCAAACAGACTAGATAGGGAGACCAGAAGAGCTCTAAACGCTCAAGTCAAACAAGTCCAGGAAATTATGCAGTTACTAAATCTAAACAAAACCAAGGAGCCGGAGTCCACGGCACCGCTCCACGAGGCTCTGTGGGAGTGCCGGTCACATTTGCTTTATTAAAGCCTCAAGGGCCATCTCGCTGTCACGAGTGGAGCCGACGGCACGTGAGGCAAGGCAAGGAGATGGATCCGACATCCCAATGCCCTTCCAGTTTCTGTAACAGCTGAGGCTCCCTTCTGAGCTGGTCAAAGCACTTCCTTAGTCACTACAAGGATTTATGATGAGTGGCTTACAGCAGATGGATTTTGTTATTTGCTGTGTTTGCAGTTCAAAGCAGCCAGGATAGACTGGGGACAGAGACAGACTGACCTCATATATAAAAGAGAACACCACTATCTCACTGCAGTGGGCAACCCCTCTGAATTAGTACAGGCAGCCTTTCGGGTCCAGAGCAATTACCCCAAGCTCAATGCATTATTTCACCTTACCCTAGGCCCTTATTTGCCTTCACCAGATAGAAATGTACCCGGTGCAACAGATACAGGCAAAATTTAGCAGTAAAGGGGAGGAGGAAGCTCCCTCCAAATAGGAGCTATACCCAAGTTGAAAGGAAAGAGCACACTTACTTTTTGATCTCCTCTTCTACTGCGTTCACCCCTTCTGTTTGAGGGTTCTGGAATTTGTTGGTAGCACTTCCAAAGTCACACAGGACATAGTGGCCACGATCATGCAGCAGGATATTTTCAACCTATGAGGATCACGACAAAMAAAATCTCTGTTAGACAAAACAAAACATGTAGACACACATATATACATGTTTTCTTTAGATGACCCTGGATATTTCGTGCCTGAAGACATATTTCAGATGTGTCTGATAAGTTTAACATAGCTGCGAAGAGAAAATATGCATCAAAACCATCATACCTCTTAAAAGAGAGATCACGTCATGGAAACCTGCATGTAACATTATCTCCCGTTCTGCCACCTCTTCTTTCTACTTCTTCCTTCTCCTTTTGCAGGCAGATCACCTTGCTGCTACTAAGACTATGATGTGCTGCCGAGCAAGGACCATCTTTCGTTATCTCCAGTCTCTAAATCTGGGGTAACTGACTCGAGCCGCCTATGAGGTCCACAGCTATAGGAAGGGATATTCCCCCGCACTGTAGTGGGGCAGAGAGAAGTAAAACGGGTGACAACACACACTCCCATGCTTCAGAAATCACAGCACACCTCCACTTCCATGCCTACAGTTCTCGTGTAGCTTAGAAACTTATTTAGAGCAAACCTAGGCTTACACTCCTATTCCAGTAATCTGTTATCAGAATGTGTCATGTAGACCATATGACTGTGAGCAGAGGTTCTTCCAGCCTGCTGAGACGACCTCTTTCTTTCAAATGTTATTTGGAGCTTGAATCACACAAGTGGATGCTACAACTAAACACCGGGGGTAACTGAAAATCAGCCGTTACAGCCTTTCCCCAAAGTAAGTGCACTAAAAATCACGCATTAACACAAACCTAGCTTGTACCCATGAAAGAAAGCTGGGTCACAAAATACTGACTCTGTGCAAGACTAGAAAAACTTGGGATCAGTTTTGGGCTTTGGCAACGCAGCCCTGTATTCCCGATCTTCATCTGCGCAGCAACATTAACAACAGGCTCTCTCAAGAGAACATACAGTTACCCAGTGTCAAATGTGCAGATACAACAAGATAAAACACGAGCTTTAATAGCTCAAAAACCACCACCTAAATACTAGCTAACAAAATCTTTTGGAAGTAGACGCCCCTCATCAAGAAGCATCTCGACAGAAAGGAAGGAAAAAGAAAGGAAATGGTGAATGAATTCACCATTTTATGCATCAGAAAATACAGCCAAAGAAAAGCAGCTGAGGGGGGAAACGCTGGCTCGAAACCAAGGGTTAAACACCCCCCTCCCCACTGCCATCCATCTGCTTTGGATAAAACACTGCAAACAGATGTTCTTCCTAGTAGATAAGCATCGACAGCATTATTTCCTAGTCCCTACATATACTGTGTAAACGTTTCCAGAAGATTCCTTCCACTTTATCCAGTGGAGAATCTGACCTGACTTTTCACCAAAACATCTCGCAAGTGTTATTAAAAAACAGWCCTGGGCTACACTGCAAGCAGGTTTGTTCAATGGTTTCCAGAAAAAAAATAATAAAACAAAGTGTATGAGTGCTGGGCCCAAAGTACCTGTCTTTTCAAAGGCAGCTGGAGGTGCCTTCTGTCAGGCGAGTGTCCAGCGGGCAGCAGCCTGGCTGAGCGAGCCAGAAGCTGAGGTTCCTACAGTCCTGCACATGCCCAGCACTGAAAGCCAAGTCAGATTCTGAACAAACACATATTAAGGAAAGCCACGAGCTCCCTTTTGTTATTTAAAGCATTTAGTTAACTTCTGTCGTGTGTCTCTAAAACAATCCTTGGTTGTGCACCACGTTTTACAGCATTGTACAGCTGCATTGAGATGCGTTTCACACTCAAGGCCAGCGAGCAGTGGGCATGAGCCCTTGGTAGCCCCTAGGGCACAACAGAGCACAAGGACGTTTTTCCCTGCCTTACCTGGCTGCTCTTGGCACATGCTCGGTTTTGCTCCTATGAAGCAATGGCCACAGAACAAACATCTGGCCAGGACTCTGAGAACAGAGCTTGACCCGCAAAGCAAATCGGAATTTCAACCGTATATGGGAGCCTCCCTCTTAGCTGAACGCATTATTGAGGCATTTTATGAGCCGGGCAAGAGGAAAAAAAAAGAATACCTTTTATTTGATTATAGGTGTGAGACTTTTTCAAAGCTCTATCACCCACAAAGTGCAGTTTCCCAATGCACTTTCATGGTTAGAGTTAGAAGCCAGTTCTCAAAGCGCCTAACAATTCCTGCCCCGAGGCCAACATCTCTGGGTGTGAATCCACGCAGAAGACTTGCGGCCTGCTCCCTCTGAGCTACCTTTAACATCAATATTGCTTCAGGTGGTAAGAATTCACTGTGAATAACTTATCAGATGCATTCTGGCACACTGTCTATGCAAAACAGTTATTCAAACATTTGTGTTTCTTAAGCAGAGCTATAGATAGTTAAACATATGGTAAGCAGCAACGAGAGGCTCGTTTCTTTTTTATATTCCATTAAGGAGAGGTATTTATGTCCACTTTTCCTCATTATTAACAACGGAAAGCCAGTCTGAGCATTCAGAGCCTGTCTGGGAACACGCACGTGGAGCGCACGTTTCCYCCCACGTTCCCACAGCCCACAGCTCACCTTCAAATCCCTGTGAATTATGGGCGTCTTGCATTGGTGCAGCCGCGCGACGGCTTCGCAGGTGTCGCAGAAGATCTGCAGCACCTCACTCTCGGTGAAGCCCGTTTGCAGGCGCTGGTTCATGAGGTTTACCACTTGGCCTCCTGAGGAGCAGCAGACACAGGCTTGTGCAAGGCGAACTCCGTGACAGCTCCCAGCCCCAACCACACCTGACATCTCGCCTTGCTTTGCTCTCCACAAAACTGGGGCTGCACGATCGGAACACGAGTTCCAAACTCCCTCCAACCCCCTCTCCGAGCCTTCTGGCAGCCTCTCTTGCCTAGATCCGAGGGGCTGATCTTCCGGCTGGCATCACATTCAAACTTCTCTTTGGGCAAGGCAGAACTTTAGCTCCCAAAGTTCTCATTCACCTGCCTCTATTAACACCTGAGTTAATTTCTGACTCTACCACATCTTTTTCTTTCTTGCCTCAACTGAAGTCTTTTGGCAGGCTAAGGAAATGAAAGACCAAATCTGACCACAGGCCACAAAACAGTCTGCTACATGTTAGCAAGGAGGGGAGTACACCCTCAAAATTAAAATTTTTGAGTAAAAGGTGTATTTTTTTTAATTTGGAGGGTGAAAGATACACAGAAAATACCCTTTTCAAACTTTTGAAAAAGCAAAACAGCAGCAGTCAAAAATCAGAAGTGACAGAAAGCTTCCTAACTTTTGTAACATGAAATTAAAGAAAAACTGTGCTTAGTAGTAAAGCTGCAAACATTTTGTACTCTTAAAACAAGTACAACCCTGCACATTAAAATGCATCAACACAAAATAGAAAAGAGGTGACAGCAGGACAGCAAGATGTGCTGCACACATCTRAAGACGTTTCAGAATCTTGTGGTCCTTATTACAATTCACATGGCTCTGACTTAAAGCTGGACAGGCCCAAGATCACCCATTTCCATCAGCTGCCACCCTACTAAATAGCCCCAGACTTCCGAGGTCAGTTGGCCACAACATCCCCAAGCTCCTCTTTAAAGGTGCTCTGACAGCAGGAGGGATCTAGCGAAAGGCTTGGCAGGGGCAACACCAGTCTACATAAACTCACACACACATCAAACTTCTCCAGCAGGAGCCTGAGTTGTGGCTACACTTTGTTTGGAGCCAGTTTCTGGTATTCCAGGAAGGGCCAGGCCTGTGAGGAGTCTTCCTAAGGAAAATGTTGTGCACGTTTCCTGTAAAGGCTGCAGAGGGACAAATCCACCAGCACRCTGGGCCCACACTCACCTCGGCAGAAGTCCATCAGTATCAGCACCTCCCACACGTCGCCGCTGCTTACAGAGTTTATGCTGGAATCGATGTATCCAACAATATTCTTGTGGCCAGACAGATCTCGCTGTAAGATAAATATATTCTCAGTAAAAAAGCTGCAACTCCCAGCTTTCCAGGCAGGTCTTTCCAAAAATGTCATCAACAACCTTGTTAGGAGAACCCGCAGGGTTTACAGCACAAGCAGAAGGTGATCGGGCTCTCGGGCCCCTCTACAAAGCAGGGACTTACCATGATTTGAATTTCTCTTTTGCAGACTTGTAAGTCGTACTCGTTATTGACATACATGCGTTTCAGGGCACATTTCACCCCGTTGTTAGTCCTTACAAGAAACACTATTGCAAAGCCACCTGTGGAAGAGACAAAACACTTAATTCAGTAAGAAAGCAGCCCCTGGGGCCCTGCCATCCCCTGCCTTGGCAGGGCACTCCGGAGGAGGAGATGCAGCCGCTGCAATGGTGGGAGCCCCCTTTGATGGCCTCGTGCCACAGCTTACATCTCTGCCTAGACAGTTGTCAGGAAACTTAAAACCACCCAAAACAACCCTAAAAGGGCAAACATTCCAACAACAGAAACCAAGTTAGCAGGTACCATCTCCGCAATAACGAGCAATTATCAGTTGTCTGTCCTGCCATGTAGTCCTTCACTGCTCCCTTAGTTTTCACTTTGCAGAGAAAACAGAAGTTCAAGCAAGTTCTGATTGCCTTGGATAGCAATCAGAGCTACAAAACATCCACAAAATTACTAAAGGCCTGAACTTAAAAGGCTTCCCAATTTTTGAAGCACCTCTAAGTTGTATCACCAAGTAGATTGGTACAAGCAGCAGCAGAACTCCCCAGAGATGGTGGTGGCTTTGGGCTTTTTTTTCTCCCTTCTCTCTCTCCCTCTCCAAATAAGAAATCAGGACAGACAAACACACACAAAAAGCAAAACCCGCAGCATTCTGTGTGTGGTCACCGCTATCAGTCAAGCTAAGGCCCCCTAGCCCTATTTGACTGTTCAGGATGAAAGCCTTTCCTATCTGTTAGCAGGGCATCCAAATAAAAGGATTTCTCATTTTGTTGGTAGTTCTGGACAGAAACAGGCAGCAGGGTGAGGATGGAGGCACCTGGGCTTCAAAMTTTGTCACTTGGTTCTCAGATATCAGAGGGGATCAGAACAAGAGTTACAAGGATCCAGGTGGCTGTAGAGTACAAAGGGAAGCACGGTAACATTTTCAATGCAGCTTATTCGCTTTCTGTTCCTTGAATTGACCAAAAATACATTCTTTCCCCCCCTCCCCCAAGCTTCAGGATATCTGAAGCCCAATAGTAAGTTATTTTTAGTGCTGCTCTAGCATTCAAGAGCCTCAGGATGCAAAGAGGTGCAGTTAGCGCACCCCACAAAAACCAACTCCAAGAGCTCCCGTAGGAGAGGCCAGAGCCCTTGGGTGATGCTCCGCACGCCAGGGCAAGGCTGCATCCACGATTAGGTTAGACATGTTTGCATCTAGTTATTGGTAATGCTTAGCTGGCACCCAAACGGTTTCTTCCCGTTGTGTGAAGAGCGACAAGAGCCACATATCGGGTAAAGTTTAGCACTAAAATAGACTGCGTCTTGCAGTAGCTGTTGCTTCCAAGCTGCTCACGAATCCGGCAAGGCAGCCAGCTGGACCACTGCAGCTATTCCTGAGGGAAAGGGCTGGAGTCGAAGCCCACCACTCCTTGTTTCCGTTATCCAATGGCTTCTAAGACACCTAAGACAACTAATGGGCAGCAACCCAGAGGAACTGCAGGAAAGATGCAGCAGACAGGGCAGCATGGGAAAAATGGGGGGAAGATTTCAGTTAAGGTTCTTAAAACTCCAACCAGGCTGCAAAACGGCCATGTCCTGTTTTCGGCACTCAAGTGCTGAAAAACAGGACATGGCCCTGGGATACAAGAAGTCCTACAGACGCTGCTCAATCCTACGAGGGAGCATCTTAAAACTCTTGTCGTGGGGGGCCTCATTTCTTTTGAGTGCTCAAACTGGGACACAAACAACCTCCCTCCCTCCAGTGGGTTTGAGCTGAGGATCTCAAATGGGGAGCCCCTTTTAAGCAGTCCCAAAGTGGCAGCCATAGCCGTGCGGCTCTCCCTGGCCATGCTGGGCTGGAGCACAACACACCCTTCACATGGGGCTATCTTTAGGCCGGCGGACGTCCTGCTGAAGGAACGCTAGAGCACTCTAACGATCCCCCCACGCCCTCRCAGCCGCTAATGGAGCCGCAGGGTAATCAAGAATTCATTCCTGGCACCATTTCCCCTATCCTGACATTCTCAAAACATTGCTTTAAGGCACTGGGGAGATCAGGTTTGCACTTATTTTCCACTTATATCTTTCCATGGACCACAGAGGTACTCTAGAGGGAACATTAAATATATATGTATATATTTAACGTTTTATACACACACACACACGAGGGTCAGTCATTATCAAAACTTTTGGAATCACAAGACTTTGGGTTCTTTTTGTTTTGTTTTTAAGAGCAACCACGATACTCCGGCTCCGTTTACAGTCCTGCACTGAGCAGAAAGAAACACGAGCTGAGCACCAAAGGGAGGCCAATTAAACTTTAAAAATGCAGACCCACTAAATTCAAGGTCCATTTCCTCCTTTCAAACAGTTGCTTGAGCTAAAGCGGGGCCCTTACCTCTTCAGACCAACCCTAACATCTCACAGGCAGAGTTCTCTCTAAGGTTCCCTTGTTCTGCTCAGGTCCTTGTCCTGGTGTCAATTAACCACAGTCTCTCCCAAAGCATCCTTGCTAGAAAATGTACCTCCTGCTGCTGTTCTCATAAGCAGATGGGGCACTGGGCAAAGAAAACTATAGTCTATGCAACACAAACATCACTAAACCAGCTCAAAAGCTCAAAGGAAACAAAAACTTAAGATCAGAAGTCACATAAGAAGTTGCAGACTGTACCAGAGAGCACAAACATCAAGAGATTAGGATTTAATTATGTCCTAGAGCATCTTCCAAAGTGAGCAACGGGAGCTACACAAGTCAGGTAGAGGCACATCCAAGAAAGATGATGGAAATGTTTGTTGAGCAGCTATCACGAACACTGACAGAACGGTGGCTCGTGTGGCTTGCAGGAGAGTTGCATCCTTGCATCCTTTTCTCCATGTTCTTAAACTCCCGCAAACCTGAGCTCCTGTTCAAAATAAGCTGTTTTGATGGATAACACACCAATTTGGCTACTTTATTATTAAATTCACACTGGTTGCAGATTAAAGCATGACAACTTTTCTACTAGTAAAAGCAGCACACTTCTCTCTAGAGAAAAGCAGCGGGGAAGGATGGACACTGCTGGCTGCGCTGGTGCCACGGGAGGCCTGGGCACAGAACAGGTTAGAGCAGACACCCAGYGCTCACCCACAGCCTTCTCACAACCTCATGTTGAACTTGAGGCACTTATTTGAGCGTCCCTGTGCCTGAGCAGCTGCTCCCCGCTGTTAACCCACAACATATTTTCAGTTCCAGAGTTGCACAACACAGATGGTTCCTCCCCAGTTATCCCAGCCCAATCCCCATATCTGCTAAATTTGGGCAAAGTTAGAAGAACATAGACCAACAAGAGTTGTCAAGTGACTGTTAAGCACTACCTGATGCTTTTGCTTCTCTGGCGGGTGCTGTATTCCAGCTCCAAGCGGATTTGCAGCCGTGGCAGGATTTGTGCAGCTCTAGGGTGGCCAAGGTCGGCTGAAGAGCCTCTGCCCCCTCAAGTGACAATCACGCCCTGTGTGTCACCAGGAAGGGTAGCTCACATGCAAGAAAGCTCAGCAGCCAAGCAGGCCACACACTAGGAACTTCATCACATCACTTTTCCTCGTACAGATATAGAAAGCAAAAGGGAAGCAATTAATCTGGGCCTCACATGAAAAATAATAATAAAAATAAACAAGAACAACCATGGAGACTTCACAAGCAMCAGAAAGGAGAGAAACAAGCCTGCAGGCAATGTTCTCTCCCTTACATTCAGAACCAATGGCCCACAATTAAAAATTTTGAAGGGGATAAACCCTTATATCATAAATTAGACAGACACTAYGAGACAGCTCTCATCCTGATATATAAAATAATATTTATATGCGCTCCCTTATGCAAGCTCGAGATGCATTGACCTCCTTCTGCAGGTAGCACACGGACAGCATTACAGTCAACAACTTACAGCTGGTAACACAGGAACCATGGGGCTAATCAGTGTCGTTTACACTTCACCCTGCATTCCATAGCTGCTTTTCAGATGAGCTGAAACAAATCAACAAATAGTAGATAATACAGGAAGTTCCGATTATCTCCAGTCAATACAGACACCAGTGCAGTTTTCCATGAGGGCTAGTGCAAGTGCACTGGCTGGTTTCCAACGCTTGCAGTTATGTTTTCAGCCCTTCTGTAATTTCAGCAGGAAGCAGAGCTCTTCTGCAGCAGGCAGGCTTTGCTAAGCCAGGTCAGACCAGCCTCATGATCCCTTCTTGCCTCCCCACAAGAGGTGAGTGAGGCAGGAAGACAGGATTCCRCGGCTGGCCCAAGCAGTTCCTAGTTAAGCTTCATGCACAGTGCACTGTTTGAGCTGCATTTAGGTTCTGCTCCAGATCCTTAAAAACACCCTCCTAGAGAACCATGTGAATAGCAAGGAAGAAAACAAGGAATTCCTACGGCCAAGTTCTGGACTGCCAAACAACAGGCCCCCACAACAWGGCTCATTTTGTTCACTCACAGCCAAAAAGCAGCAAGTTCAMCCCAGAAGAGCTCTCTCAAGCTTGATAGAGGCTGAAACATCAACTCAGACCACTCAATTTAAGTTAATGATAGCCCAGAAAAGGCCTAGCTGGACTCTGCCCCATGCACATGAACTGGAAAGCAGGGTAGACTTCAGAATCTGCAGGGCCAAACTTCATTTCACAAGTCACTGCTTTTCCCAAAAAAGCACTGCCTGCTTCACCTATCCACTGTTCTTCACAGCATATGTGCATCTTCCTTCTGCAAACATTTTCAAGCTTCATATCAGATCTCATCTCTCTTTTTCCCTAAAGTTATGCTTGATGATCCAAAACAGACAGGTTTGAGGAAAATTTGATTTGCTTTCTCCTTAAGTCATTGTGCTAGAAAGAGCCAACTACTGAATTGGGGGAAAAAAACATAACACATACACAGACAATCCGAAATCTCACTACTTAACTTTAAATTTGCTCCATCATCCTTCTCCAAATAAATATATCTGGAATCATCACAGTTCCTGAATGCCACGAAAAGCTTTATTCTTCAGCAGTGAAATTCTTCTGAGCTGGACAAACAATCCATGTGGGTTTTGACCAAAACGYTCCC